CAGCCCATTAGTATTAAAATCAGAAAAATTCACTTCAATGCAATATTTAGAGTTTTTATTAACAAAAGATATTCTTTCTGCTACCATTTTAACATCAAATCACATGTTCAAAGTCACAAATCATGGACTTATCAATCTCCATTGTCAATTTTTTTGTTGTTGAAAAAGTATTCAAATATAAAGGTTGTTTAATAAGGTAAAAATGTTCTCGTTGTCTCAATTGGTAATATTTATTTACATAAATTTTAATCATAAGCGGCTTTAAAGGTAACTCGAACATTTTATGGGTCAAGCATTTTTGCAATCAGTTGATGGGCATGCATAATTTTCTAATTAAACACCAAACAGTTCTAATTTTGTTTTAACTTAATTTTTTTTAAGAGCTTATTTTTAACTTTAGTTTTAAAATAAATTTTGAGCTAAAAAAAGTCAAGCCAAAGAGACTCTTGATAAGTCTTTAAACTGATTGTTAATTAAGGCCAATTAGTTAACTTAACCAAGTTGAGAAACTTAAACCTTTTCAATTATAACTTTAATTTTTTGTTGAGCTTTCTCAACTCTAGCCATCAAACTTCTTGAGAAAGTCATTTAAAAATTTATAAGTTTTTAAATATTAAGGAGCGCCATTTATTTTATTTTATTTGGATATTAAGGAGCGCCATTTATCAACTCCTTTTCCTTTCACCAACTTCATAGCTTACTTTACCCTCCAACTCTAAGGTGAGGAGCCTCATTTTGGAGGTGTTATATTGTGAAATCAAAGATAATCCCACTTTAAGAAATTTTTAATGTCAAAATAGAGCTTCACTGAAAATAAATAAAAAAGGAAGCATCTTGCATGCAGGACAATAAATGTGTAGGATCAGATATTAGTTTTTTTTTTAATACAGATATAAGTTTTTATTTGCCCCACTGCAGGCATTATATTTGACCCATTATTATTATTATTATTATTATTTGGTAGGCGACCATTATTTAAACCAATTGTATAAAATCAGGTATTGTGCATAACAACAAAAATTTCAAAGGAGAGCTTATTTTTATATCAATGTAGGGATAATAAATTTTATATTTAATTTTAATTATTGATTTACTTGTATTCAATGACTCACACAATCAAAAAATTAAAATCGTTAGATATAAATGAAATCAACAACCGAGATTAAGACTTAAGAGGGTAATTTCCTACTCCGTCGTATTCATATGATTATAACAATCTTGACTGTCAAACTCTAAATCATGGCTTTTGAAGATGGTGGCTACCTTTTCAGTTGGCAAACCCGAGTTGTTGAATTTTTCTAGCAAATATTTTGTAGCATCAAGCATTTTTCTGTGTGATCTAAGATATGCAACAATTTTCGGAGTAACCATCTCATGATTATGGCTGTCAATGAAATGTGTAACTCTCCACATGTTTGTTTTTTTATTCCTAGAAGGCTTGACACAAGCTTACGTGACGATGATGTTCTCCTTGACTTGCCCTGACATAATTTACCCACTTTTTCTTCCAATTTAGTTTGTGGATAACCTCTAATACATGTTACCTTCACGTAGTCCTCCCTGGATGTTCGTCTCCGGATTTCGAATCCTTTTATCCTACCAAATGTTGTATATAAGTTTACTATATCCTTCCATTCGGAAAATTCCATTCCTACCTCAGTGGAAATATTAGTATTCTTTGTCGGTGATAATGGAATGACAATTGATATATTGTTAGGCAAGTCATTTGATATGTTATCTTCCACGTAATTAGGTATGTCATTTCCTACTCCGTCGTATTCCGTTTCTTTTTACACACAATCGTGACTGAAGTCAATATAATTAATTGGATCATCTTCCATATTGACCTTCATTGAAATAAACAAGTGACTATTATATAGTCAAAATCTATAGGATATAACAAAAAAAAACATAGCACAAAGTGAATACTGCTTTCAAATCGTTTGGTACTAATGGGTCAACTAGGGGGCTAAGTCAACTAATTTACTTACTACAATTTTGATGTCTAACTCTTTTCTCTCACTCCGTACGTAGCCAAATGACCAGAACAAGCTAAGATACAGGCCACTCTTTAGTGCACAAAATATTTCATTATCTCAAACTATTTTTGGGCAAAGGATACAACATGATAAGAGCAATAACAACACAATAAATTGGCCAATATGAGGAATTGTCCTTCTCCATTTCATCCAAGTCAACAGAACTTACCTCGAGCGTGATGCTTGCTGGCATGCATTGTGATGAAAAGAAGTTTTCAGCCAGTGTTTGCTGCTCACAACTGTTGTTCATGGTTGTGACGATGAATGGAACCAAAAGAGAAAGAACGATGAATGGAACCAAAAGAGAAAGAACGATGAAAGGAGAGAGAGGTGAGCGTGAGCAGTTCAACTAGGTCTATATCAAAAAGGTGCAAGAAAGACGAGAGCGATGACGTTAGGGTTCACGTTCTTGAAGAAGGGAACGATGGAGGGCAGGGGTGGTGAGCTGATAAGGCAACTTTCTGTAACAATGAGAAAGAACGATGAAGAGAGGGAATTTGGAGAGAGAGGGAATTTGGAGAGAGAGAGAGATGAGCGTGATCAAGAGAGAGAAAGAAGGGCATGAGTGAAGGAAAAATTAGGATTATAAGGAGTAAAAATTAATCTAATGCTGATAATTCAGTAGCAAAGGTAGTAAACTCAGGAGGTAGTAAGTTTAACCTCCCCTATTTTTAAAATATAAAATTAAAATAAGAGATATTTCATAATATATATATATATATATAGGGTTATGTTTATCTCATTTTACATGAGATAAACAACTTTCCTACATACACAAAAATGAGTTGGGTCCCACCACTCTTTTTTCTCTCTTCTCTTACCTGCAGGTCCCACTTATACTTTTATTTCTACAACATGAGATAATTTTTTTCCTACAACATAAGAAAAATATATCCCATATATATATATATATATATATATATATATATATATATATAGGGAAATATAAGAATCATGTTGCAGGAATGACACTGTTCATTCCTGCAACAAGGATTCGGCAACGTATCTTGAGGATATGGCGCCGTATCCTGATTTTGGTTTGACTTTTTTTTTTAAGCGTGAGACCCACACTTGATTTGTGTGTGCAGGAAAATAGTCTTGTCATGTGACATGACAAAAAGCGAACCCATATATATATATATATATATATATATATATATATATATATATTTCCAAAGAAATTATATCCATATAAAAATATTATCATTTTATCCATAAGCTATTAATCCAAGTCAATAAATTTTATATTTTATCCTTAATTTTAAAAAATTACAAGTTTTAAAATATCATGTAACATCAAGTTAAGTTGAAGTAACTTTAATTTAAGTGTAGCCCGAATTCGATCCAAAAATATATGAGTTCTATTTTTTAAAACCCTGACATGACTTAATTAACTTAGGATTGGGCTGAGTCATTAGGTAAGATTGAGTTTTGGGCACTTGCACATGACAATAATGAAAAATAAAAGAAAAACTCACTTTAAGGTTTAAAAATTAATAAATGCATTTAAAACAAAACATTTAAAAAGGGTAATAACTAAGTAAAACTTTATTTGACGGGTTACACCTTTTAACCGAAACGAAACAAATTTTTCATCTCAATCCATTAGAAATGATTTTTTTTTTAATCGAAGCATACTAATTTTTAGTTGGTCTAACAAAAATCCTCATTATTTGTGTAAAGGATGTTATCATTTCATTCATAAATACGTTTCACTCAAAAACTATTTAGACAATAATAATAATAAGGGGAATAATATACTTATCACCTAGGTTGCACCGACACCGACACGGAATACGTGATACTACACGACACGATACTCCGACTCGTTAATTCTAAAAAATATTAAATTTCAACAGTTAGGACACATTTTGATATTATATAATATTTTTAATTTATGTAATATATGTTCAATAATTTAACAAAAAAATAAAGCTAAACTTATAATACTCATCAATTTTGCAAAGAAATAAAATATCTCAAATGTTTATATTAAGCTCAATAAAATGGTAATCATAATCTAAAGAATCTAATAGTTGGAACTCAAAATGCAATGCAACGTAAAATTTGAATATTTTTTGAGTTTTTGCAACGAGTATTGAAGTGTCGGGAAGTGTCGGAGTGTCGATGAGTGTCAGAAAGTGTCAGACACGACACGTCAGGATTTTTGAAGTGTCGGTGCTTCATAGCTTATCACCATTAAAGTTTATCATCCATACCATCAAATTAATGACCGTTGATTTTTACCAATCTAATGGTTATAATTTATTGAGAATTATTGAGTTGCACTTATTAATTAATTATTAATTTTCAATATACTCAATAAATTATGAGCATTAAATTGACGAAAATTAACGGTGATTCGATTGATTGTAAGAGTAATAAATTTTTATGGTGGTAAGTATATCATGTCCCTGATAATAATAATAATAATAATAATAATAATAGCATGGAGTAAAGTTAAATTTTAAGTGAGTTATAATTAATACTTTTTAAAATATTATTTTGCAAGCTTAACACAAACAAAATAATCATAATAATAAGTAAAAGTAAATATATTCAATAAGAATTGTAAACAAAATACAGAAAGAGAAAATATTGTAAATAAAAGTTGAGATACTAGTTAAAAGCAAATTTTCTTCAATTGGCATTTAATTTAGGCAACTACTTCGATTGAAAGACATTCTAAATCCAACAAGTTAATATGCAATAATACGTTATTAAAAACCATTATACATGTTCGTAGTAGTTTGTCCAAACACGTTAAACCAGCTATGTTCTGATGCTACTAACATACACCTCAAGTGTACTACGCACCCATAAGGAACGATCCCCACTTTACTCACAGGGTGTGCGCACTACGCTTCCGGCTTATCTTAGAAACTCTAAAACTAGCGAAGAAGATTAGATTATTAGCATGGTAGAGTTTACTGTGTAGTGTCTCTTAACAGACACAGTCTCACTCTCACTATTAACACAAAACAACAAACCCTTCTCTCTCTCTCTCTCTCTCTGCAAAGTGCAAACTTTACTCACTTAAACTCATTTTGTTATTTTTTAATTCATTTGTTAAATCTCACTCTCTCTCACTCTCACTCTAAAACAAACACACAATCGAAACCAGATTTAAATCCCAATCTAGAGAGAGAAACAAAACAAGACAAAACAATACAAGCAGAAGAATAAGAGAGAAAGAACCAAAAGCATCTATTCTCTCTCTCTAAACCATCACTTTCTAGGTTGCACTTTCTCTCTCTGTGTATATGATATGTAATGTTTGTTGTGTGTGCGTGTTTGATTTGAAATCTGGTGTTGTGAGCATTTGGATGTGTGTGAGAGAGAGAGAGAGGAGGGGTTAGGCACCGGTTAGATCGGATATGGCGGAGTTTTCCGGCGACGGGGGAGGTGTGGCGACGCCGGCGGCGCTTACGGTGTCGGGATCGTTCAAGGAAGGGAAGGGTTCGTCGAGGAGGCGCGGCTCCATGAGGCCGCCGAGCATGGACGCCGACGAGTTCATGAACCTGTTGCACGGTTCGGATCCGGTGAAGGTGGAGCTCAATCGCCTCGAGAATGAAGTTCGAGGTGCGAAAATGCTGCTCGATCCGAAGAGTTCTTGAGCTTATTTTTTTATTTTTTATTTTTTTATTTTTTTTAATTTTGTTTTGTGCTTCGTGTTTGTTGATTGTGCTTGTGTTTCTTTGTGTGTGTTTGCAGATAAGGACAGGGAATTATCAGAAGCACAGGCTGAGATCAAAGCCTTGAGGCTATCTGAACGACTCAGAGAAAAGGCTGTTGAAGAGGTCACCTCTAATTTCTCAATTAGTATTATTTTTGTTGATCTTGATGCTGTTCGTTTAAAGATTGTCATAAATTATCCATTTATTTTATTATGTTATAATGCTAATTACTAATTTACATGCTGGTCATGGTGTCAGATTAAAGAAATTGTTATTTTTATTTCATAGTATGATCATATTATTGACATATTTGAAAATATTTGTGTACGGTTACTATGTTTGGACTTTGAAGTTACAGCTGAAAAATGGATTGAATCCTTTTTATTTATTTGTCTAATTGCTTATTGGGGAATTCCATTAATGTTGGAAGCCCCCTTTTGGCATTTGCGTTGGTTCTATCTTCACATTTTGGCCATGTGTAGCAATTTCTCTATCAGTTTTGCTTGACCTTTGAAAAAAAACCGCCTCAGTTAAATTTGGCACTCTCACTCTGAAGTCATTGTGATAGACTCTTTCCTGTGTTGTCTTGACCATACACGGAAAAGCCGTTACCCAATGCCTAGTAATTATTTTTTAATTAAAGCGATTATGGATATGACAAAGCTTGGAGTGTTGTAATCCATCCAATCTTGTTCATTGAAGTTTCTGCTCTCATAACTTGAATCATTGCGGTTTTGCATATCTGTCTAGGCTTTACTTTGCACTCGGCAATCCGTCTGATTTATCTTATGGATTTTGGTTTACTAACGAGTGCCCCAAGGCACTTGTAAATGAATAAATAATAGAAAGTATTTAATGAAAAGTAAAGCATTTAATACATTTGAAACTTGAAAAGATTTACTTTTCATTTTTGATTCCTTAACAAGTGTTCTTAGATAACTAGAAAAACCTTTATTTTATTCCTCCCCCCATTCCTTTTTATCTTTTGCTATAGTTTTTTTTTTTTTTAATTTTTATTTTATTTTATTGTCATTTTAAAATACCAATGAAGCATTCATTACTTTTTTTCTAACCTTTCCCTTGGTATTAACAAGTGAGACAGAATATTAACAGAGTGGTTATAATATTTTGAGTATTTCAAATTTTCAATAAAGAACAATTCATGATATCTTTTCTTTATTTGAAACATTTTGTTGACTATCTTAATTCTTGTGCTACTATCTTAAATGACTGATAAAAAAGAACAGTGGTAGTACTTATCAATGGAAAGTTTTCTCTTATTTTCCCCTTGTTTACATGGCATTCTCTACATTCACTCTTAATTCTATGTTTGTGTTGACTTCTTGATAATATTGATTTTGCTTTTGATGTTTTTGTCATCTACTATATTTGACGTCATGAGATTTAATAGTTTTGTTGCCTTAAAATTACGTTATGTTCTAGAGTCATTGAGTTTATTGTTTGACTTATCAGTTCTCGAGGATACCGCTAGTATGTTTGATTTTGATTATTTTGTGAAGAAGAATTGCCTCTCTTTTTTCAAAAGTCATCTTGGTAAGCTTTAGATTTTAGGCTATTTTGAACACAAAATAAGCTAGTCCAAACATGCAACCTGTCCTCGCCCCATTGTGCTTCTTTTCTTTTCTTAATTTTATTTCTTCTACTATAAAATAGTAATTATATTTTGGCTGCTAGTGATGATTTTTGAGTAGGTTTTTTTTTTATATATATATATCTAACCTGATTGTTCTTATGATTTTTTTTTTTGGTTCAGTTAATCATTCTTTACATTGTTTTTTCTCAGGGTACCTGATTTCCCTCTTACATGCTTTGACTTATTCATGATACTTCTGCTAGTTTTGCATTTTCTTGATATTATTGCATGCTTTATGTCAACTTGAAATGTGACTTTTCTGCTTCTTGCTTGTATTTTAGCTGACCGAAGAACTGTCAAAGGTTGAAGGGAAGCTAAAACTAACCGAATCTCTTCTAGAAAGCAAAGTATTGCCTGGAGCCTCTATGCACTTTAGTAATGAGTCGTTTTCCTAGGTTTTTTAGTATATTTAATGAGTATAATATTTCTGACAGAATCTTGAAATAAAGAAAATCAACGATGAAAAGAAAGCATCAATGGCAGCTCAGTTTGCAGCTGAAGCCACTCTTCGAAGGGTCCATGCTGCTCAGAAGGATGATGACATGCCTCCAATAGAAGCAATTCTTGCTCCTTTGGAGGCTGAACTCAAGCTTGCTCGGCAAGAGGTATTACCTTGTTCTTGCGTAATCCCCTGGAGAAAGAAGTGATGGAAGGACTGAGGCTGGCTTATAATAAGTGATTTTTGACTTTATTTCTTCCATTTATTCCTTGCAGATTGCTAAACTACAGGATGATAACAAAGCTTTAGATCGTCTTACCAAATCTAAAGAAGCGGCACTACTTGAAGCTGAGAGGACTGTTCAGGTTGCCTTGGCTAAGGCCTCCATGGTGGATGATCTCCAAAACAAAAATCAAGAGCTAATTAAACAGATTGAGATTTGCCAGGTATCACAATCTTGTATGGATTTTTTTCTCTCCTAGTACATCAGAACCATAAATGTGTAACTTCTAACTTCTGTTTTCATCATGACTTCTCTCAGGAAGAAAATAAAATTTTGGACAAAATGCATAGGCAGAAGGTTGCAGAGGTTGAAAAGCTCACCCAAACTGTAAGGGAGCTGGAAGAATCTGTCCTTGCAGGTGGAGCAGCTGCAAATGCTGTGAGAGATTATCAGCGGAAAGTTCAAGAGATGAATGTAATATATCAATATTCTGCAAATTCTTGATTATATTTTGCTTCTAGTTAAGATCATATTTATTTTTGCATGGTTTATCTGTCATTCTTTAGGACGAAAGAAAAACTCTTGACAGGGAGTTGGCCCGTGCCAAGGTAACAGCAAACAGAGTAGCTGTTGTGGTTGCAAATGAATGGAAAGATGCTAATGATAAAGTGATGCCTGTCAAACAATGGCTTGAAGAGCGTCGATTCTTGCAGGTAATATTATTTTGATTTATTGTGCTAATTCAATTTGATTCTGGTTGAGGTTTATTTACTCTCTCTTTTCTTCCTTTCATTTCTTTTTTATATAAACTTTCCTGCATTTTGCTTCACTTTACTATAGTTTCCACTTATTATAGACCTGCATTCTTATAGGGAGAAATGCAGCAGCTTCGTGACAAGCTTGCTATAGTTGAGCGCACTGCAAAGTCTGAAGCACAGTTGAAAGTAATAATCTGGTTCATATCTATTGACTTAGAAGATTATTTTTTCCATTATTCAAGCTAAACTTTTTAACAAATTTCAGGAAAAATATCACTTACGACTTAAAGTGCTCGAGGAGAGTATGAGAGGAAGTTCTAATAGTAGTAATCGCAGCACCTCGGAGGCAAGAAGTGTGAGCAATGGTGCTTCTCGTCGTCAATCCCTAGGTGGAGCTGATAACATCTCAAAAGTAACCTCTAATGGGTTCTTGTCTAAGAGAACACCATCCTCTCAACTGAGGCCATCCCTATCTTCTAGCACAATTTTGAAGCACGCCAAAGGAACTTCTAAATCTTTTGATGGTGGCACAAGGACAATGGAAAGGGGAAAAATTCTGCTGAATGGAACACCTCCAAGTTACTCGTTCAACCAATCTCTTGAAGAAACCAAAGAGAGAGAGCCAAATGACAACTGGAAAGGAAATTCAGATGATAAGCCAAATGACATCCCAACAGTGGATAAAGATGACAGTGTTCCAGGTGTTTTGTATGACCTACTGCAGAAAGAGGTCATAGCCTTGAGGAAAGCTGGTCATGAGAAAGATCAAAGCCTAAAAGATAAAGATGATGCTATTGAAGTAACCATTTAGTTTATTATTTATTTTTTGGATATTAATCCTTGACTTCTAATTTATAAATGATAATCCTAGCTAAATGTTTCCAATGGTCATTGTCTGTCAGATGTTAGCAAAGAAGGTAGACACATTAACCAAAGCCATGGAAGTTGAGGCAAAGAAGATGAGGAGGGAAGTAGCTGCCATGGAAAAGGAGGTAGCTGCGATGCGTGTGGACAAAGTGCAAGAGAACAGAGCAAAGCGTTTCAGCAATGTAAAGGCCCCTGTAAACAGTGCTCAGCATCAGCTAATTTCTGGAAGGTAATTATTTGAATTAACTTTTTTTTTTTTTTTTTTTTGGGGGGGGGGTGGGGTTGCTTATTTAACTTGCTTTTTTCTGCAAATGGTGTGATGCTGGGAGTGGGAACTTTATTCATTCTGTTCCGTGTTCTACTGTTACTTTCAAGGAGTATTTCATGAGGGATTTCTGTGTAACCCCATGGATTTTTCATTTTCCTCGATTTTAGGCTCTGAGATGTGCTTTGGTTTCGGATTTTCCTCTACTGAATGTCACCACTAGTCTACTACCTAAAAGAATTTCTTTTTTATGACCTGGACCTCTTATTTTGGTAATTGAAGTGGATTGGGAAAGCCCATGGCAAATGCATCAAAGTTTTGTGTATTGCAGTTTTCCATCAAGATCAAAATTCCATGCATATCCACTTGGTCACGCATGGTTAGTTCCCCCCTCCCAGTCATCATGTATAACCAAGAAAGGAAAATGGTTTTTTTTTTTTTTGAATTTTGCAATGTCTTGTCCTCTTAGGTCAACTATCTTTCCTGATTTCTTCTTATCTGTAAACTCTCTACATTTTGGCAACATGTTGATCAATCTACTTGAATATGAATATTGATATTAGTATTTCCATATCATTGTGTAATCTTTAGTTATGAGTTTGCAACACTCATAGTTGAACCTAGTATTTGCCTCTAAAGGTTTTGTGTTGACGATGATTGCTTTGTTTTATTGAAAAGTCAAATTAGAACTCATTTCAAATTTTATAAAACAAGAGAATGAAGGGTTGAGAATTCGAAATATTTGTTATTTGGACCTTTTGATGAATAAAGACAAACTTTAGTGCATTATACTAATGCCTTTTGCTTTCTTTCGTCTTCCCTTTTCTTTTCTTTTTTCTGATTTCCCCTCATGATTTGGAATGATTGAAGTCTTTCATTTGCACAGAAATGTGACACGGGGAGGATTAACACGCAGCACCCAATGACAATAAGTCTATTACAGCGGCACGTGGGAGTAAACTTTCATAGGGATCATTCTTCTGCCCTTCTCTGTTTTTTTCCTTTTTTCTTCCTTTTTTTGTCCACTTGATTATAAGATTGTAACTGGCATGCCGAGGAACAGTGTTGCTGATATTGGCTATGGATTGGGGATAAGAAAACAATTTCTGGAATCGGTATGCATCTGACCTAGACTGTTATATCTATGCTTAGAGAGATCGGCTAAGAAGGCAGGCAATGGAAGACCTTTAACTTGGGCTAACCTTTCAACTTTTCTTTGAGTGGTTGTGTGGTTGTATAGGTAGCTTTTTCCCTCCTTTTTTGCAGTTTATATTTGTAATACGCAGATAGCGTGATTGTGTTGGTCCAGATTTGTTAATATCTTTGTAACCAGATGGAGATCTAAGCTTATTTGGTTGTGTTATACGTTCATAATTTCAAG